GAAAGGATATGGCAAAACATATCCAATAATCTATTAATTAATGTAGGGTTTACTGCTTCTCTTGTCCAATGTAGAAGAAAATGGTACTTATTGAAATACGGGTATAAAAATTTAAAGAGGTTGGAAGTTGGGGAGAATCTTCATGATCAATCTATAATAAACCCAACTCTGCATAATCAAATATTTCATGCAGAGTTGGGTGATGAATTTTGACTTAGAACTGGTAATTATTTATTGAATAATAGTAATAAGAAATATATTTTTTACTTTTAAAAACATCAATTTTTTAATTTATTTATTATTTTTTTATTATTTTAGACATAAATCGTCATCAGTATAGAAGATAAAATGTAGATCGCCGCCAGTACTATTACCGATATAGATCTCGCCTTCACTGTTTTTTCAGTTAATGAAATTGCAGCTGTATATTTGACCTTACTTTCACTTAAATCCAATTTAGTCATTTTATGAATGCTTGGATTAACTAATAACAAATTGAATTTGAACTCATCTCAATTGTTACTCCAAATTTAAGATAAAAGAAGTGATTTTCTTTTACTTCACCAATTTCATATAAATATCCTAATGTCCAATCTATTCTATTATTATCAGAATGACAAATAGCTTCATAATTTTCAGCATAAAATAATGTACCTATAATTTGTTTTTCATTTAAATTAACAGCATTTTTAAATTCCTCATAGGAATTTATTATCCAAGGCATGTCTATTTTAGCATTATTATAAAATTATTTCACAACTGTATCTCTATCTTTATCAAATTTCTATTGTTCATTTAGACTAGATTTCTTTCTAGCAACCTTTTGTAAGCGTACGAACTTGAAAAGAACCTAAAGGATCTTTTCGAAGACTATGACTAACTAACTTCTCAGAACTTTCATATTCTTTTTCACAAATAATGTCATAGTGATTATCCACTATTGACTTGAACTTATTTCCAAAAAAATTGAAATTTTGTTAAGGTTACATCTCTTACTACCCTACTCACAAACATATCTTTACATAAAAAAATGGCTGATTGATTTTTTTTAATTATTTAAGGTCTTGTAATAATTCAAAAAAAGATACAAATTGTTTTTTATAATTTGAAATTAAATCTAATTTACTACTAACATTAATTAACATAGTTGAGTTCCTTTTAATTTTATATTAGAGGTCAGTTATTGAAATCTTAAATTGATTATTCTAATCTTCTAACAATTTGACATTATCTTTTTGGCAGTACATATTTAAGAGTCATATGAACACAGAAACAGGATCAAACTTTAAGATTTTTATTAAAAAATTATATATTATTTTTGTATTATGAAATAGAAGATATTATTAGATAATCAAGCGTACAACTCAAGTAATTTTTTCATCTTAATATTCTAAAGCTACTATTAATCTTATGAATTAATAAGGATGATCAAACATCAACTTGAATCATAAAGCTTAAATCAATATTAAATATAGATAGGAGACCATTGAGAAGAGATAAATAATTTTAAAATTTTCTAAAACTATTATTCTTTTATAAATATTAAATTAAATTACTTACATTTGTAACATTCTGAATTCTTAACCAATCTTTGAAATCTTCATTATATTCAAAGAGATTTTTATTATTATTTTTTTAATAATTTTTTAGATGATATTTTTCCTACTCCTGCTTCACCATAACCATCACAACATTTTCATTTAATTTATAATGAAAATTTAGGTAATTTTATTAATTTATTTAAAAAAATAATATAAAACAAAATATTTGAATTTAATCATTATTTTTTTTCTTTTTTTATTTTATTTTCTAATTAGTATAGAAGTTGATAAAACCATAATCAACAATATTGCTACTGTTTCCAAAGTTACCACTAATATAGTTGCTACTATATATAAAGTAGAAATGGATCATTTCAGATATTCGAAATGGTCAAAATGGTTAAAATTATTTCAACTATTGGAGGTCAAAAGTCGAATTAGTTGAAATGACATCATATTACATGATTTTTTATATAAAAAAAAAACAAAAGATGAGCGATCTTGGTCAATATCACTCTGATTTGTATAAAACAACTATCATTCGATTTCTTGTGACTAAACGAATCTAACATTCATTGATTTTGGATCATCCAGTCTCAAGATAATCACAATTGTATTATCGGTCAAAATTATAAATCATTAAATACTACTTTGAATAAAGAAGTCTAGATTTTAAAATTCATCACAAATAACTTAAGATTAGCTGATCCAAAATTGATGAATGTTAGTTTATTGGATTCGTTTAGTCATGAAAAATTGAATGGTAATTATTTCATACGAATCAGAATGATATTGATTAAGATCGTATATCTTTTGCTTTTTTTGTTTTTTCTATATATAAAAATCATATGATATGATATCATTTTGACTATTTTGACTTTTCATTTTAACTTTAACCTTCAAAGTTGAAACATTTCAACTTTTGGGTTTTCATTTTGACTGCATGTATAGTTGCCACAACCTTAAAATTGCTGCTGTCTTCATCTTCACTATCACCATCAATGTTTCTGTTAGCCCTAAAGTTACTGCAAAAAAATTAATTACTATCTCAAAAGTGCAGCAAAAATAAGTTGCTGTTACTCCCAAAGTTGCTACTAATGAAGTTACCTTTACCAAAGCTGTTACCATCAAAGCTAACATTACCAATATTTCAAAAAAAAGAAAATTTTATATTTATTTTTAATATTATATCATGAAATAATATATATAATATAATATAATATAATAATATTTTAGAAAAATCAAAAATCAGAAGATTTATTGTTCTGATTTAGAAGAATCAGGTAAGGATTTTATATTTTATATTTTATATTTAAATTTTAATTTTAAATTGTAAAATCTTATTTAATATTATAATTAATTAATTTATATAAAATAAATGAAATTTCTTTTTTATTTTTATTTTATTTTTTTTTAATGAAAATTTTTTTAATTTTGAAAATTATATTTATTTAATGATTAAATGTATAAAAATTGCAATCAAAATTATGTATATAATTTAATGTTTATATGTTAAAATCCAACTAAAAATAATATATACAATATACTGATTAGATGTAAAAAAAATCCAACCAAAAATGACGTATACAATATATAGATTAAGCATAAAAAATATATGCAAAATTACATATACAATATACTGATTAAACTTAAATTTCGTATTTTTTTGCATATGAAAAAAATTAATTTTTAGTATCTAATATATGGAAATACTAATAAAATAATGTATATAATATACTGATTAAACATATAAAATCTATGTAAAATTACATATAATATACTGATTAAACATATACATTCCGTATTTTTCTGCATATGAAAAAGATCAATTTTCAGTATCTAGTATACGAAAATATTTACGAATTTATTATACTGTTTTTTTAAATTTATTATACGTTTTTTAAATATATTATTTCTGTATACTTTTCTTATACAAATTATTTATAGGAAATATATTATAAACTCATTTATTATCTTTTATAGAAAGGATATGTGAAAATATTAGCTTCAATCAAGATGAAAATATTTTTGTATATAAAGCAAATATATCACTCACATAAAAAAAATTTGATATCTTTTCTTTTATGATCTGTTCAAAATCCTGATCTTAATCCAATTGAGCATTTATAAACCATTTTGAAAAGAAAGTACATGAGCATAAGTTTTTACCAAAAAATAAGAGAGAACTTATTGCAATTTTACAAGAAAAGTGGTTAAAAAATTCGATTTGAATTTTAGCTAATTTTTAAACTGCTAAACATTTTTGGTAAGAGTGTATCAAAATTTTTGCAAAGCAGATTTAATAGCAAAATTTTAGATATTTTATAATTGTATTAATTTTAAAATACTTTAATATTTATAAAAATAATTATTATAATAAAATATTATATATATAAAAATTAAAGTATCACCTTATTAATTGATTGATTAAATATATATTTTTATTGCAATTTTATATGCTCTAATTATTTTTATTATAAAGTAACTATTTTTTATTATCAAAATCAATATATTAGTCTCTTAACCTACTTTTAATAACTTAGCTCCTATATATTTTATAAATTAGAGTTTTTAAATATTAATATTAATTTTTAATAAAAAATTTTAATTATTAGTATATAATTAGGTGTATTTATATTTTTGTATCTAATAATATTATAAAATGCAAATTAATTGCTTATAATTTTAACATTATTTATAAATTTTTGCTCTGCTTTATATTACAAATACTTTAATTTAAAAAATTTATTAATTAATCTATACTAACCAGTATAATATATATTCCAATTAAATAAAAAAGTAAGTAATTTAATAATGATCTTCACTAGATTTTTGCATAATCAATCTTTTCATTAATAAAGCTAACCTTTAGAAATTATAATGATTGAAATATTATATACAATATAATAATAATATAATAAAAAATAACATATTATATATTAATAAAATATTTTTTTAAAAAATTAATTATTAACAAATTATATTATATCAAATTTTAATTTATTCCTATTTTTCTTACATACAATAACCAATTTTTTAAGTCAATAATGTTTAATTATACATTTATTAAAATAAATTTAAAAACCAAAAAATATTTTCTTTGTATTTTAGTAATCACATTTTTTGTTATATTTAAAAGTCATGTTGAATATATAAATACTTTATAGTAGAAAGAGACAAAAAATTTTTTTAGCTTGCTTCTTTTCTATCACAAAAGCCATATAAAGTTGAAAATATTTGTGATTAAATCAAGAAACTTTTTATGTGGTTATATAGGAGGTGACTATATAGGGAACGACTGGAAAATTTAAAAATTATGTATATCAATCATATGGTCAGCTCATTTAAAACTAGTTATTTATTTTACATATTTAAATATTAAAAATTATTTTGAAGTGTTCATAAATCTTTAGCGAGAAAGAGAGAAAATCTTCAATTTTAAACCTTATAAATTATTTGCTAACCATAATTAAATAAATTAACTAATTCAGGGAAATACAAGAGCCTACTTGTATAAAAAGCTTCGTGATGAACACTTTCCTGATAAAAATCATTACTTTCCAACCTTGAAAACTTTTTTTCTTCAGCAAGATCAAATTGTTCGGAAATCTCGGAAGCAAGAGTTTCATTGCATAAAGCATCGATCCAATTTTCCAATATAGCACATAATTCAGATGCAATTGGGCGTTTGGAAGGATTAGGATGCCAACACTGCGCCATTAATTGATTATAAACATTGGGAGTTCCATCAATAATTTCAGGTCGAAGACCAGAGCAAATGTCACTAGCTAATTTTAGGTCATGTGGTCTATTACACCATGGACGAATACCAGCAGAAAGCGTCCACATGATAATTCCAAAACTAAAAATGTCGGAAGCCTTGGTTTTTGGATTCCCTCGTAAAACTTCAGGAGCCACATAAGGAAGAACTCCATATATTTTATTTGAATTTGTTTTATCAATGGGAAAATGCAATCCCACATCACTGACAAACGTGCTAACTGAATCAGAATTTTCAACCAACAGATTGCCTCCGTGAATATTTCCATGAATTAATCCATGTTCATGAATTATTTGTATTCCTTTCGAAGCTCCCCAAAGGAAGTCTAGTATATCGCTCCAACAAGTCATTCCCTGTGCTTTATCAAGATATGAATGTAAATCTTCATTCTCATAATATTTCATGACAAACATAAAATTTGAAGATTGATCTTTTGTTATTCCGAAAACGTCTGCAACATGTACGTCTAATAGACAGCGACTGTATTTATATAACTAAATTTGAACAAAATGGTATTAGTAATTATTTGTTAATTCAATAAATCTATTTTAATTCCAAAAAAAATAATTTTAAAGCAAATAAAATAATGAAAATATTCATCTTACTTGTTTCAAATATTCCTCGCTCATATTTTGTGAATAATGAAGTCTCTTAAGAACAACTTTTATAGGACCAGTACGTATCCATTGTTCGGCATCTTTATCCCAAGTCCAACGCGGACCTTCCATCCAAATTGCTGTAAAAATTGTGCTGAACGCGCCACTTTTGTTTATATTTTCCACAAGGTCAAATTGTTCAAACATAATATATTCCAAATAATCAACACTTTCCGTTGCATTCAATTGAGTATATTTAATAAAGTTATCTATATTAGTATTTTCACTTGTCCAATTTCTAAAATTCTCTTTAAAGGCATTGGTTTCACAAATTTTACACCATCTTGAATTAATTCGTTCATTTCCACAATATAAGCATATTTTTCGGTTCAAACTTGAATTTGTCATTTCCTCATCTGTTGAAAAAAGATACATAATTTATCCAAATATTTCCTGAAATTTTATGAAAAAACTTCGTCAGCAATTTGAAAATTCGTTTGAGTTTTATAATAAAAACAACAAAACACTCGAATTTTTCAATTTTATAATATTTGCTTTTTGATTCGAATTGCAGTTTATAATGCTTTTTTTCAACAATAATGATGTCCGTTACTGATCATAATTTTTGACCTGTAAGTGATTGCACTTTACATTTTTATTTTTTAAAAAAAAAACTTACAAGATAATTAATTGCCCGATTTACAAAGCGAGTTACAAAGTTATTGGGTAATATACAATTTTTTTTTATTAAAAAAAAAAGGAGATATTTATTAAATTTTAACAATATGGTTTGTTGAATTGGAATATTCTTTGTTTATTGTTAATATGCATTTTCATTATTTTTCGTTAAGTGAACCTTAGGGGTTTAATATTTTTGGACCAAAAAATCCAAATAGATATATATATTTCCTTCTATATAAATTTGTAGTGAACGTAACATTATTTCTCGAATTTATTATTGATAATTGAGTATAAAACGAAAAATGATATATTGTTCTTGATTTTCGCAAGTTATCAATATTTTTTATTTTGAAACAGATTATTATAACACACACAATACAAATCCGATAATTTGTTTATTTGACCCTGTTTGGGCACAGATTTACGGTTATACAAAAAAAAACAAATAAATAACTATTATAGTTTCTCTTTTTTAATAATATGCGAAATATGTAAATATTGACGCAGCTAGAATAGACTTTTTTATATTATGCCACGCTTTATATTAGTAAAAAAAAAAATCTAAATTAAGTGGCGTAAAATATTATCATTATTTTAAATACAATTTTGCATAACAACTTAAATAAAAATGAATGTCAAAAGTATCTAATACATTCGAAATTAGATGCATGTTTCAATAAATTTGCTCATTAAATATTTAGAAAAGAAAAATGCACAAATTATTGTGAACCTGAAATAATTTTTTTGCCAAGAAAATCCAATTACTGTAAATAGAAATGGAAATCAGGAAATTGTATTGTATTAAAAATTGATATAGATAAATAAAGCCCTGTTCCGTTGGTCAAAATATTTATTGAATCTTGATTGGTTATTTGAGAGGGTCAGGATCGTTTAGTGTCCCTGAAATTTCATTTGCTGATGAAACAGGATAGAAATGTAATGTCATGTCACGAATCACGAGGATTGTAAATCCGATATAAATAAATTACGTTTTACAAAAAATAATAAAGAAATTCTATTTTTGTGGGACCAGGTTGACCAGTCATATAGCTAGAATTGCTTTAAAAATGAAACAAATGAACCTTTCAAGTTATTATGATTTTGTTTAAGATAAGATTGTTCAAAATAAAATGACGCAAAATGAACCAATGAAATGTATTTAACGTACATAAGATTTTTTTCACTTTTCCACGTTTATTTGTAATTAGCCCAAGAAAGAAAGTACAGTACTCTTAAGGGAGTTTATAAAAAAGATAAGCTTATAACAATTAAGAAGCCACAAGATCAAACAATAAAATATTTCTACATATAATAAATTACTGAATTTCATATCGTGGATTTATCCTATTTTCTAACAAGAAAAAAATTATAATCTCAATAACAAAGACGGCGGGTCATCTGAACAGCTCTTTCGAGTTATTAAAGGATTTGGCACGACTTCTTTATGTTATTTTCGAATGACTCCGGATGTCCGTTTACAAGAAATTAGATATGCTTTGACATTATTCGGTCTAAATACATGAAATAAGCTCCCGATGACATGTATGCACTAACACGCGTCTAAATACTGCGCCATTAAAGAAACTTGGCCTTCGCCGATAGCCTGTAATGGATACTGTCTCGCTTCATATGTCACAGGGGCACTTACACTTGATTACGAAAATGGTGGGTTGCTCCGGTAGTTTTAGTAAAAAGCCTAAATCCCTCCTTTTAATACAATCACCTTTAAAAATTAAAAAATCATTGTATTTATCGACATAAGGTTTTTTCCCCCAATTTTTTTGTCGTGATATTTTTCAAATTAAACGAGAATTATTATTAAATCATTTCCGAACCTACATTTTCGAAAGAATTCTCGAGGAATAGTAATAAGATTCCCTTGCTTAATAAAGTTTATCGGCATCATTACTTTATAGATAGAAATGTTAAATTAAATTTGATAAGAAACGTTAGAATTATTAAATTATACGTGGCTTTTTTTTTAAAAAGTAAGACGGATCATATGATCTTTAACGAAATTTTGCACACTTGAATTATTATTAGTAAATTCAAGATTAACTTTAATTTTTATTTTTGCCATAACAATTATTATTGATCATAAAAATCAATAAAGCCATCCTATGAATTTATTTATAAATATATAAGGATATACAAATTATTCTCATGAAAAATAATAATAAATGTTCAAAATTTTATGAGATCTTATACCATGTTTCGTAAAAACGAAAAAATAAATAGCGAGAAGTAAAATAAAGTCACTATAACTTTTCTCCACCTTCCATCATAAAATTAAATTCCTTTTCTTGAAAGGCGAGTAAAAGAACACATACTAAAGTTTTAATCAATTCACCCTTTTCGATTTTTTAACTAATAAAAACCTTTTCAACGCCTGAAAATTTCTAGATCATACATATCATCATCAGTTTTGAGTACCCAAGTGCTATCATGCGTAATTAATATTCCATAAAATGTTTTTCCATAAAGCATAAATTCAAATTGGTGGTACTACGTCGGTGTTACCAATCCTCTTTTATACGTCATTTGTTCATTATATAGAGTATGAATTTCTTTTCCTTTCTTATTTGTAAAATGCCTTTCAATTTTTATTCTATGGGCAATAAATAAACTTCATTTTCACACAAGAAACTATATATTCAGAATTTTTTCCTGAATCTGATAGAGGTTTCTCGAATAATAGACCAAAAGAGTCATCTAAATTTGAAATAAAAGTCTTAACGGATTTGTCAAATAATTCATGATCCTCCTTTACTGAAAATGGATCTTTAACTTTTATATCAGGAATTTCTATATTTCTACCAAGTATATCTTAAAATTTCTCAACAAATTTCATCAAAATCATCATTATCATCCCAACAAATAATTTGGTTTGGAAAATAACGATCATAAGCATTAGTAGAGGGAGATTTATATGATTTTAGATATTTTATTGAAGGTAAAGATAAATTGAAAATATCTCTAAGTTTAGAAGGTTCTGAAATTGGAAAAATGATTGAGAAACTTCAGAATATGACTTCTTTTAAGAATTCTTTTTTGTAGTAGATGAACAGATACCAAATTAGAACAATATAAAAAACATTGTATCGTATGATCATCACAAGTAAGAAACTATAAAGAGTAATTACGTGGGCTAGGAAAGATTTAGACTTTTTATTGTGATTTATAATAGTTCAAAATATGTCAATAATTTATAAAATTAAAGAACTAGTTCAGTTCTTGGAATTAAATTACAATATCTTTGATAGTTTTCTTAATACGCTTAAATAAAGCAGATTGGTTTATAAAGCAAATAATTTAAATTTAAATGATTTAATTTATAAGAACAAAAATAGTTAATTTTTATTTATTTTTTTTTTTGAATATGTAAAACCATTCTAGGTGTTGCAGCCCACAATCTCGATTTGTTTAATTTCAGAACTTTTCTATATGTAACTTGAAATATTGAACATAATAAACTTTATAAAATAAATAATAATTTGCAAAATTTTACATTTGTGGTGGATAATTATTCTGATGTTCTGATGACATTATAGAAATAAAATCATTAACAAATTAAGAAAAATTTTTTGGATTTTATTAATCAAATTGCATATTTATTCGTTTATATTGTTTCTTCGGTAAAATGAACAATTTTTGTATTGTGATATTACAAATTTCGATTTTTTTAAAAAAAAATGAATCCACAATGACACATGGATTATTTTCATTATTTTGAAATTAGTAAACATGCTTGCTATATAATTAAATTGCAAATTTTTTTCATCATTATATAACTGAAGATTAGAAATAAAATTAGAAATAAAATAGCTGAATCTATATGATCTCACATCTTTGTTTTTTCTAAAAACTCTGTAATCAACATAATTTTCGAAGTAAACCCTAAGGTTAGTGTTTAACTTAGGTTATACAAAATCATGTGATTTAACCTAAAACTCTAAATGCCTGCAGTCACATGATCTTTATATCATATTACACTAAAAAGCAAATGGGTTTGTGTAATATCAACTTTGAAAAAAAAAATTTTTCTAAGTTTTTGTACTGCGGTGATGTAGAAGGTTGTTCTTCTTAAACCGCAAATAGGTCAGTATAACTTACTGAATTAGGAACTT